TAAAGTCGTCCCCTCACAGCTGAGCAGAAACTAGCTGTGCACTTCTTTTGGTTGGCAAATGTAGACAGTAGAGAGAAATTAGTTCCGACATGAAACTGCTCACAACAGCGTTTGTGGATTTTATTTGGGTATTTTAGTAACTAGGTCATGATTTCTGGAAAGAGACACAGCTGTCAGATGATGTTTTTGAGCTATATATATTAAGATAAAGGAGACACCTCCACAGCTGATGGGCAACTCAAACCAAACAATACTGTATAAATGTTCCTGGAGGTGGGCGGGGCGCGGGCGGGTGGCAGAAAGTCATAATTATGGTTGACAAGGTTGAATGTTGTCTGTTTAACTTGCTGTAAAACAGTTAATTACATTCAAGAATGAGCTCGTTTGAACATTTTAAATACTTAAAATGAGGGGGCGCTTTCCTGCACATTGTCTGCACATTAATCGTGCACGGCCTTTTCATCCAGATGGATATACAGCATGACAGGAAAGAAAGATGAGAATTACACTACACATCTTATATTCGTATCTATATGCTGTCACTTTTATAATAAAATAAAATACTCACCCTGCACACGTACTGATTCCGAGCGCCCGGTGAGAAGGTCTGGGAGCGAACGATGGTGCTACCACGCATGAACGGCGAGGCGTGACCCCAGCGGCCTCCCCGCTCTTTAGGTCGGACTCGCACCGGCTCCGGGAACATGCCTTCTGTCATGGTCGCCTTTTCTACCTACAAAAAAATGTATGAACAGAACTTTTAATGCCAGATTTTCCCCCCCCAATAAGAATCTCCTCACTACCAAAGCGTCACCTCGTACCTTGATTGTTGAGGGTTTGCAGACTGTCTGGTCACAGCGTCCTCCGGTGGTGATGCAGATTCCCTCTGCACACAGGCCCTCTGAGCAGGGAGCGGCGAATGCAATGCTGTTGCTGCAGCCGCTGTCCACTGACTCCGCCTGCCAACTCCTGAAAAATGCACCATCCCCATAAAGGTACAAACATGACAGGGGCCAAAACGATGTATTTATTTGTCAAAGCAAAATCTAGCCTAAGAGGAGGATAATGTCACCTTTCCGACGCTGCCTCCCCAGGCTCGTCCTTCTTCTCCCGCTCCTCCAGGTGGGTGGGGGTGTTGCGTGACAGCAGATTGCATGCAGTGTCCTGTAACATCACATTTTAATCCCTCAAAAAAGATCTTCAGTCTTTCATCACTCCCCTCCCTCTGACTGCTGAGGCTGGCGCATGCAGGCTGACTTGGCTTCTGACACACATTCTTGTCAATTATGCACTTGAACAAGCTACACGCCTGCAGGCCGTTGGCTACAAGCTGCTATTCAACAATGGGAATGTGAATTTATCCAAAAGAATTAGCAGGATTACAACTTCAAGGATCCAGTGAACAAAATTAGTTTACTCAGGCTCAGCTCTTGGAACCACAGGCTGCGGCTTTATTGTGGATGTAGCAACTGTAATGTCAATCTGGTTTATATACGCGATTTGACACCTTAATGTTTTGGGCAAAATGACTATTTGGTCTGAATTCTCCCTGACCAGGTCCTCCAGACGCAGTCACACAGCCAAAGTCTTTGTTTTTAACTGATTTTTACCTGAGCAGCACCGTCCAGCTGCTTCCTGACACTGCTGTTATCGACTAAATAAAATATGTTTACCATGGCTCCGGGCCTTTGTTCGTCAACCTGGCCATCCTGGTGTCTGCGTTGGATGACGTTCCTCTGTTCAGGCCTTTGTGACTCTGTCCCATTCAACATCTGCACTCGCAGCCAGTGGTAAACCATCTCTGGGCTCCCCTCACAATCTGCCAGGCTCACCTGGGCTTTACCCTGCAGGCAAACACAGGACATTTTAATCTGAACAGCTGTAACCCCAGTCTCCACCAGCAGTGGGGTTATGGTAGCTGAGCCCTTCAGACCCACCAGCAGCTCTTCCTGAGCCTGAGGTCCCAGTGAGCAGACAGACAGCTGCAGAACGCACACCGCCAGGGCGTTTGCTGGGACAGGAATGCGGAAGCCTTCGTTGAAAGTCATCTGGGATTGTGGCTCCAATGCTGTACAACAGTAAAACGCACAGGCCCTGCTGCCGTCCAGTGAAATCAGGTGCACCTTCACATACCTGAAGAACAACGCATGAAAAGAACAATACTCAGACTTCTACTTAATGCGAATGAGTGTCCTCAGAGTGCTGAGACAGAAAAGATTCAGAGTGTTGGCTCAAGTAAAAGGAACACTATAGGAAGAAGGAAGTTTCTACTCCCTTTGTCATTGAGTCTGCCTTTACAACTATTTTAAAAATGGGCTGTTCTAAAGAGCTCAATAAATTCCTCTGTAATAGGATGAAACATATCAGTTTGTGAAATTTCTTCCCCTGATATTCCACGAACAACTGCAGGAGGCAAACTGGAGATAAGTGGGTGCCTTTAAACGCAAAGTGCAAAGATCAAGGAAAGTCTAACGAAGTACTCGGACATCCTTTTAACTGTAATGTTTATGGCTGAATACAGCTCGTGCAGTGTTGTTTTGCTGTTGATATTTTATTCTTATTCCATGTAATAAAAACAGGATAGTGAGCCAATGCACCAGCCTGTGCACCAGGCCTATCATCTCAGTGGCCTGACAGTCTCAATACGAGTTAGAAAAGATATGGGAAATTTAGCTAAACAAATTAATGATTAAAAAAAAAAAACTGCATAAATTTTTTAAAAAGTTGACTTTTAAACTAGAAATCCATCAAGTCTGTTCTTTTTAACCTAAACTGGAGTAGCAGCAGTTTCCCTGTGCATCCCGTAAACTAACCATCTGATTAATATAGAGTCATCTCCTTCTGCCACTTTAACTCTTCCACAAGTATTTCTTTCATTTTCAGAGCTGAAAGTACTCACACTTTATAGCCGTCTCTCACAATTGACCTATTTAAATTTTTGACTTGTAACAGATGCAGTCGCAGAGACTGAGAACTGGACTCCCACCTGTGAAGAGAGAATACAGTTCATCCAGAGATATTAACGAGGAACGAGCTTTGCCACCCACGCACTGTCTGCACCAACTTGTTTACTCACAGCAGTCCCAGTTGGATCTGGGTGGGCTCGCTCGCAGACGTCAGCTCTTTCATGTATGACATCTCATCAAACTCCTCCGCCCTGTTGGACGAATGGAAAAATGGTGAATGAGCAAAGAGTTTTCCCACTTTACTGGACACAAGCTTTTTGTTTAGTCTACTAAAGGTAGTCAAGCCTCTATGGACAGGATTATAACTACCTGAATTTATAATGAAATGCAATGCCATGCAAACACCACAGTCACAAATTCTGAACGTGTTCTTATTTCGGGTGTAGTACTCTCCTTCTCCACTAGGAGGTGTTAAAGTTTAGCTTTAATACTGTGAGAATGGACCTCTACTCACCTTCTGCCCCAGGCCTCAAACACCCCGCTGTCGGTGGCCAGAGCATCCTCAGAAACACCTGCAGAGACTCTCCTGGCTCTCCTGCCACTTCTGTTGGCACTGTTTCCCCTCAGAGTAACTCCTACAAAGATTTGGAGTCAATTCAATGCATTAGCAGGTAGGCTTTAGCATTTTAGGTAAAATCATATCTTTAGAGTCTCAGGAAGACAGCCTGCCTCAGGAAAAGCAGCTCACAGAATGAGTGAGCTGTTGTCTCTTGCTGTCTTTTACTGATTAGACATTGTGTCATTTAGAATTTCTGCTCTTTTGCCTTTATTCTTTTATTGAGATCATGATAATTACCCACAAACTCAACTTCTTTGGGGTTTCTGTGAACATTTATTATAATTAAATCAAATTAAGTAGCTAAATATCTTGGCAGAGAGTGAATTTTGACTTTATTGAATGTCTACAGTGACGATAAGGAAATGTGCTGAAAGGCAAAACAAGATAATAACAGCAAAACAGAAAACAGCACAGTGTCCGTTTTAATCATTTTGACCCATTAATATAACATTTTTTTTGTGAACTCCGAGTTAGGTTTATACAGAGTTTCTTCGCTTACCTGTGGAGGTGAAAGCCGCCTGAGCCCCACTGTCTCTGTGAATCTTGTTATCCAGTTGATGCACAGCGGCCGGGCTGACCGTTTCCTCACTGCTTATCATGGAGGTGTGTGATAGGGTTTGTGACTGCGCCCGCAGCCCCTCTAAAATACCGCGGCCCGCCTGCTCCATGTATTCCTCCGTCATCTGGGTGAGGGGACAGTCCTGAGGGGCAGAGTGGTAGGGCGTGTCCATTGGCGAGCTGGGCGGTGACAGGGAGGAGAGCGAGGAGCGGGAGGACAGCGAAGCCAGGGACTGCGGGGTGTCGTGGGAGCGTTTGGTTTTGCTCTGGGTCAGAGGGTCGGGGGTAAACATGGAGGAGCCGCTTGAGACGGTCTCTGGGGGAAGCAGGTAACGGAGGTGAGGCTCAAGGGGCTCTCCAGCGCCCTCGTGGCGCTCATATTGGGGGAGACCGTAGATGTCACTGAAACTGATGGAGCTGAGGGAGCCTCGGCTGGACGCCAGGGAACCCCGGCTGGAGGCTAAAGAGCCGCGGCTGCTGCTGGACGACACGGTCAGAGAACTGGCCGACAGGCTGGAGGCAGACAAGAGAAAGGAGCAGGAGAGAAATGGGTAGAAATCTAAATAATGCCTTTTATGAATTCAGTAAATGAAAACTTTATTATAGTTATTTAAAGCTGTCTGCACTTCTGTTTTATTTTGATTACAATTTCACTTTCATTTAAAACTCCCAGTGGTGGCAAAACTACAGAACATGTGACTCATGAGAGAGCAGACACAGACAATGACTGAGGAACTTTAGGAGTGTGTGCTGCACCTTTTCAGCTGGGAGTGAAGGTAGGTGGTGATGCGTGTTGCCTCCTCCAGCTGTCTCAGCAGAACATTCCTCTTCTCCTGCTGCAGGATCCTGTTGGGAGATTCACTTCGATGTATAAGAAATCCAGAGTTCAATGTATGGCACCACATATCAGCCGGCAGGCTTGTGTAACAGCTCACTGCGTTTTAATCTTGCAGGATAAACTGGGCTACGAGGGCACTGGTATATTCCCTCTAGAAGAACACAGCTGCAAACCTAATCTGATAGTGAACGAGATACACTATGTTATGGTTTCATGTAAGGAGAGTTATTTGAGGCATCCTTCCCCTGATCAGCTCATTTTTATACACACTTCCAACCCATTCTAAAAGGTTTTAGTAAATGTTTCAAAAGTGTGCGATAAAAAGCTGAAACAAAGCGGGCAATAAATAAAAATATCAGTAACAAATTGTTTCTGCATGGAAACTGTTTTGAGTTTTCTTTGGTTTTGTCATTTTTCCAGTGTGAACAAACCACATACGGAAACCTGCTGACAGTTAGTATGTAGTATGGAAATGGACACAAAGTCCAACAGCTCACTGCGATTTATGATGATGGATTTACAGCTTTTCATTTTAGTATGTGAGTATATGTGCATCCCCTTGATACAAAAAGAAACCCCACAGGCTGCTAAGTTCACAGACATATGACAGCTATGATGCAGGCAGTGGAGGCGATGATGGGGCAGAGAAGATAATAATTTCCAAATGTGTGTAAAAAGATTGGAAATACTGATGCCCTGTTAACATTTAAACACAATGTGTACCACTCTCAGTTCATACAGTGTCAACAAATTATTGTTCCAAGTACCTTTAATGGATGTAGAACAATATGACGTGTTAGGTAAAGCAAGCTGATTTAAAAAACAAAAAAAACAAAACAAAAAAAAAAAAAACAAACTGGCGGCACTTCACAGGCTCCATTACTCGAGAGGACCACATGACATCTCAGCATTTCCATCTATATGACTTTATATTTTCTTGCTATAAACTTCTTTCCATTTGTTTCTCTGTGGCTTCTCTTGTTTTGTTGTTTTTATGTCTTTCTTGCTTATTCCATAAATATGAAAATGTTTGTATAAAGAGTTGTAATTTGAACTGTGATACACATTTTTGTTTACTCGATCGCTTGACTACTGTTATGGTGAGACCATTCACCTTGAGATTATCTTCATTTATGACACAAAATAACCTTTGGCTTCATTTGGCATCTGTTTGGATGTGGAATGAGTCTTCAGGTGTCTTTATTATTATATATCCAATATGGTGCTATTGGTGTGTTCTGGTGATAACTGTTACTTATTAACCTGATATTTATTAAATAACGTTAAAGTGCACCTCACTGTAAATTATCACTCTTACTGTATTATTTGTTTATGCATCTTAAATTTGCCTGTCAGAGAGCACGCTGTCATCATTCTCACCTCTGATTGGCTCCCTGGCTTTGGGAGCTCTGTGCCCTCTGCACCTCCTCCTCCAGCCTGGAGCGCTCCTCCTCCAGCTCCAGCAGCTTCTCCGGCAGGTGCTGCTGCTTGCTGACATGAATGATCTCCTGCAGGAGGGCCTCCTTCTCGCGCAGGAGTTGCAAGAAGTCCCGGTCGCGGTCTGCCTCGGCCCGCCCCGACCAGCTCTCACTGTCCAGCTGTGCTAGCTGGTGCTGTATGCTCTGCACCCTGAGAGAGGAGCGGGAAAGATTACACATGCTGTATAAACCCTTTACATTTTTACATCGTAAATTTCACGTCCACTTTAAAATTCACATACCATGATTAATAAAAAAATAAAAATAAAAAAAATCAGTCTTTCAGACTCAGAACTTCATGATAATAGTTGTGGTTTAAAGTTTACATACACTCACATTCACAACCTCTGTGGCCCCATATTAAGATTTTTATGAGCGGCTGCTGAATAAATGCTACCTGCAGCATTATGTACAGCTTCTGTTTACTCTGCACAAGTGTTTATAGCAACACACGTACAATCGGCTCCACTTAAGACTGCACACTTGAGCCCTGCTGACGCTTCATGCTGTGATTTATAATGACAGCATTCAGTGTCTGTAATTTCTGCCCGAGCTACCTGCTGCATCAGCGAGTGCTCTTACAGGTGTATACGATCCAGATGTTTGCTCAGAGTTAATTCGGTTCTCACAGAGTGATTTCTCAGCTTGGATGAAATAACTGTGTTTATGTGAGATGGATTTCAGACAGAGTGACTCAGTGACAGAGCATGCAAGTTTCCACAGGTCTCCCCCCTCCCTGCCTCTCTTCCCCTCCTGATGTCATGGTTGGCACTACAGCTGCTGGGTCACAACAGCAACATGAATCTTTTTTTTTTATTTTTTTTTTATGTGTATCGAGCCAAAGTAATAACTGAGGATGTTGCTGCTGTAACCTCTTTATAGCTGGAAGACAGTCTGACCAGGAATCATTAGACAACACAAACATCAGAAGTTTGTTCTAGATTTTCTCACCGTCTGTCATTTTTGTGAACTGGGTCATATAATTTCCACTGTAATTTAATTTTCTTATAATAATGACACATAGTTTGGATAAGGCATGACCTGAGTGTGAAAGCAAAACCGATTTACTCGTTTAACGACCCTCTCCTATGGCCATGAGCTGCGCAATCCGCCAGAACAGCATCACAGATACAAATGACCTAAATGAGCTTCCTCGTAAGAGTGTCAGTGCATATAGGCACGTAGGGTTGGTACGCAGTACTGGGACACATGACGACATCAGCTGGATTAGCTTCTGATTTCAATGTCTCACTTTAATCTTTGATATGATTTTGAATCCAGCCTTCAAACAGTTGAGAATTTCCACTGACTGCTGTCACATCATCACATTTGTCCTCAGTGAATTAGTGAGAGATGTTCCCTTGATTTTTTTGAGAGATCCTGATATGGTGACCAAACTAACACATAGATTTAACCGAAGTGGCCCGAGTCACATTTACAGCCCAAATTACTGGACGAACCTGTGCTGAATTCGTAAGCACCCTTTTTTTTTTAATGTAAAGGAATTCCATGCTTTATCCAGTGTTGATTTTGCCAACATATAAGTTGGTCTATGCTATAGGGTGAGCTGGGATATATTTAGCCAAACAGTGTCTATATTAAATCACCCTGCGGAGAAACAGGGTTTGACATGGAGGCTGGCGGTGGGCAGTCCTCTCCCTTTGGCTGTGTGCACAAAGGCAGCACACAGTCAGCAGCAGCAGCGTGGCCAGGCAAGAATGTGACCACCCAGCTCATTCTGCCGGCCAGACATCGCTCAGCAGCCACGTCCACCGGGCGCAAATACTATTCATAACACATCCTCCCACTGCTGGTGTGTCATAGTAGTACGAATAACAAACAGCCAGGCACACTTACTTTTTCTTGGCTTCCTCGTACTGCCAGTTCAGTTTCACTTTGTCCACCAAATATGAGGAGTCTTGGGAAACATACTGAAGAGAAATAAGGCAATGGACCAGATTACACGATACGATCAGATTATTTGGCTTTAGTCATTTCAAATTTATGCAGGGAGTTAAATAAAGTAATACACTCATCATCTGGGATGCTGACTATTAATTTAGGGTGAGACAGGGAGGTGTAGCGGCGTCTCCTACCTCCCCCATGATGTCAGTCTGACAGCCAGTGTCACAGTACTGCTGCAGATTGTCACCCACGGTCCCAGTGCTGTTCGCCATCTCGCTGGCCGAATCGCTCACCGACAAGCTGCTTTGGAAGTTAACAGTCAGCTTAGCCAGGCTCTGTGAGAAAGAGGACACGTTATGTTCATTTCCAACTCCATATTTATACTCTTAAATAATTCAAACCTTCGGATGATTCAGAGTTCAAAATAATCTAACTTATACCGGGATATGTTAGAGATATGACTTCATTTTAATAAACAGTCAAGAGTAGTTTTTGTTCTTTGGGAACAACGGCCTGCTTCTTTCTTATTCACACACGTGTACTCCGTCTTGCTTCTATTGATTTTCACTGCAAGATGTTAGCGAGACCTGCTATGATGTACGGTTTATGGACAGCGGCACTGTCGAAAAGACAGGAAGCGCATCTAGAGGAGTTGAAGATATTAAAGCTTTCATTGGGAATGACAAGAATGGACAGGATAAGAAATCATTATAATAAAGGACAGATTAGGTTGAGTAGACTGGAGAGAAAGTAAGAGAGGCTGAGACAGTTCAGACAGTGGACATATTGGACAAAGGATGTTTAATATGGAGCTGTCAGACAGCGAGAAAAGAGGAAGACCTCAGAAATTTCATGAAGATAGTGAAGGAGGTACATGCAGAGGGTTGGTGTGACAGAAGAGGATGTTAGGAATAAGGTGAGATGGATTCAGATGACCTGCAGTTGTGATCCCTAAAAGAAGCAGTCGAAAGAAGAAGAAGAAAAAAGGTTCAAATTTCTTTGGTGGTCACCAGTTACGGTCACTTAAAGATAGCTTGGAAAATGCCCCCACAGCCAGAGTGGTAAAAAATAAAAATAAAATAAAAGTTAACATCAAACCTTCTAGTAGAAAGAATAACATAAATACTGAAGGCCAAAGAAGACGAGTCTGAAAAGGTCTGGAGACCGTTTTTTACTTTCTCAGTTATCAGTGTAATTGTTTATTGTGAATCATGCAGAGTTTGTTTTTACTGAATTATTACAGGGAGTTTTTAGCCAAATTAAATGCCTCTGTTTTAGTTTATGTGAGTAGGTGCTTTAACGTGTTTGTATGATAAACGTTTGATCGTTTGCTTTTTCTTAAATGCCTCGTGTGAATTTTTCTTTTGATAAAGAAAAAAATGTGTCAAAAAGTGTCATCTGCCTCCACTGCGTGCTCAAAAATAGATCGTGATGCTGCCAGGAAATGCATCTGCAAATGTGGTCATCATTATCATCCTGTTACCGCTCGATTATTCATAAATTATTGCTGCGTCGTATATTTTGGTTTGCTGACAAAACCTGAAACTTGGTGGGTGATTCAGATGTCTGGAAATGTGCTTTAATAATAGACAATGAGGCGAAGTAGCAGAGGCTGACAGACACTAGAGGTCAGTATCGAACATGTCAACAACAAAAAAAAACAAACTGAGAACTTCTGAAGCTAGCAAGTCAACATGATCTTTAAAGAAGAAGGGGAAAAAAGAGACACCTGGATGAGGTCCTGCCTCTCCTTCTCGCCTGTGCTGATGGCCTTCTTGATGCTACGCAGTTCGTTGAAGATGGCTTGAGCCTCGTCCAGCTTGTAGTTTGTCTGACTGGAGGACATCTTTCTGTCAATCCTGGAAGGTAAAAAAAATACACATTTTATATCTGCTAAGACACTCTTGGCTTTTGCAAAGTATAATGAAGCTCTGATGTACAGCAAGGGCTCTCGAAACATTATGACCCAGTAGCATGTAATGTGGTTTATTTTGATTTTTTTTGTTGTTGTTTTGTAGTTCGTTTGGGGTTTTGTTTTTTTACTTTAAAGTGGCTGTTACATTCATTGAAAGTAAAGGTAACTATCAGGGTAACTGAAGGCCCATGTGACTAATTCCCTGTGATGGGAGGGCTTTTAGGGCCTTGTTTATGAAGGACAGGAGAATGGGGATGGCTTTGTGTGGCATCAGCAGTGATGTGTACACTCCTCTGATTTTTATAAGGAAGAGCCAGCGAAGCGTGAAAGGGAAGCTGTTCAGAATTACTGGTCGATCTACGTTCCCACCCTCACCTATGGCCATGAGCTCTGGGTAGTGACCAAAAAAAAAAAAAAGAACCAAAGGGCAGAAATCAGCTTCCTCTGAAGGGCAGCTGGGATGTCCATTAGAGACAGGGTTCAGGAGTAGAACCACTACTCCTCCAAACTGAAAGCAGGAGGAGGTGGTTTCCCAGCACATTTGATGTGAGGCGTTCCTGGACTTACCAGGAAGAGGGCCTGTGGCAGACTCACTGCATGCTGGAGGGTTTATATGCCTCTCCTGGCTTGGGAATGACTCAATATCCCCATGAAAGAGCTGCAGGAGATGGTGGGAGAGAGGTCTGAGCACAGGGCCCAGATAAGCAGTAGAAAGCTGGTGGATGAAGGGAAGCCTGCTGTGATGGTAACACTAGAATAGTTAAATGTGAAGAGAAATGCCACCTTGTTCTTGTGTTTTGTTTCTTTATCACAGTATGACATGAACTGTGAATTAATTAAATGTATAGTAGTGCAGTCAGCACTCATGGACGCCCCATAAAATGTTAATAAGGGCAGTCTTTAACCCACAGGCCACACTCTGAAAGCCCTGGTCCCAGAGGGCAAACCTTCATGGTTTCAGTATTTTTCCTATGTTCTTAAAAAGCTTAAAACCAAAGATGTTTGAAAAGACATCTGCTGAAAATCAAATTCAATCCAACTAATGAACTGAGCTATGAAGACAACACAAGACAAACCAGTTTTTTTTATGGTCCGACGGTTTTAACAAGCTTGTGTTCTCGTGTGTGTTTTTGGAGTTACAGCTTTTTTAATTTGCTACGTCTCTAAGTAGCTTTGCTGCACTGTAACAATGTAAAGTTTCCCTTTATGACCTCCAGGGAGAAAAGTTGCTGCACGGCTGTAGCTAGCATGGGTCCTAATGAACTAAACTAAAGGTATATCAGCATCATGTATGTCGGTGATTTTCTAAGTGAGGTTGAGATGGATATATGAAGCCCGCAAACTGAACATTATTAGTTAATAATATAAAAAGATTTTTAAACAAATATATTATTTTTTTCTGATAATCATTCATGAGTCTTCTGTCATTTTTGGGCTTCCATAGAGGTCGATATCAGAACTAAAAGTTTAAACTTATGTTAATGATTTCAAGCATCTTTGTTCATCTTTGACTTTAAGACAGGATAAAACTGAAATGGATTTAATTTCGGACACTAAAAGTAATAAGAGTAATTACCAAAAGAAGCACAAGGATTAAGAATGAGAGCTAATCGGCTCTACTGAACTGTTATTTATCACCAATCTGACTCTTACCTACCTTTACTTTCTTATTTGTATCTAAAGTAGTTTAAAATTAGGAATGAATCTCTCATTCACTTGCACAACAAGATACGGTGCTTTGTATTGGGAAAACTTGTCAGTGGTGAGTAAAGTCACAAAATAATCTGATGAACATCTGAAGTCTTACTGTATTGTATTCATGAATGAGTCAAGTGTTTCTTTAGACTGTGGTTAGTTCAGAAATACTGAAACTGCATGTGACAGACTGGTATAAAGGCTCCGTTCGTTTACTTTCAACAATCAGGGATTGTTTGGGCTCTCCCTGATTTAGCAGGTGAAATCTCTGCGTGGGTTTATCCTACAGATCATGACATTAAAAAATAAACAAAAACAAATCGCAGTACACCAAATATGACCTATCTGCGCATTTCATCATGCTTGCAGAGTAAATTTTGTATCCCTAGTCTGTGTGTGTGTGGTTAGGTAGGTGGTTGGTTGGTGGGGAGCTGGAAGAGCACAGGACCGTGCCTCCTCCGTTAGTGGACCTGGCACGTGGCCTCCCCTCTCGCCACAACCCGCTTCCTTCACTCTCCTTCAACAGCAGGTACTGTTCATCCACCCGACCCTGCCTCTTCCTCCCAAAACAAGCCCTGCTTTGTTCCCCCCGGCCCATTTGCAGGGCCGAGGAGTTTATAGGTTTATGTGTTTAGCAGAAAACAGGACACTGCCCACCCTTCTGTGCTTGGCTGTATTGAACCGCCCCACCTCCCCCGTGCCGTACAGCATCATATATGCTTACATTTATTTTAGTTCAATTCTTAGAGCTGCTGATTGCGATGTTGGCTACAGAAACAGGTCAGAGGAAGCATGTGAAGCATCCAAAAATTCAGAGAAATTCATCAAGATAAGATGGAGAACAGATGAGACGTCTGTATGGCAAACTGTCCAAAAGATTAAAACTCCTAAGTCCAACTCCTGAATTCTTTAAGTCGAGCAATGAAGATTAAGGAGCAGGAGGGCTCTACACCAGAAACTGCTGGTTTGCTTTATCTGATGCGACATGGCGTGGAGAACAATTAGCTATATCGCTGACAACAGCTGAGATTGGAGGAAAAAAAAAAAAAATCCCCAAAACAACAGCCGTAGGGTTCCTCATGGCCTCAGCCCTACCGGGTGACCCAGAGGGAACAAAGGGACGCGCACACACATACACAAAGGCTAACAAAGACATAAACACGCATATGAGCACGTATACACGCACGTAAAAAAATTCAAGAAGAGGATGCGTCTCCGTTTTCTGCAAGCTGTGTATTCTCCTGTCTATTCTGGGAATCACTTGAGTTGTGTATTATCTAAGAGATAAGGGACTCTTTGCCAGGACTCAGGAAGTGCAGAGGAATTTGCTGCCAGATATCTCTGTGTTTTTGAAACTGCTTTCAAGCCCACACCTCCCCCCCCTTTTCACCCCCTCCACCTCTACCCCCCCTTCTCCATGGAACAACTTCCTCTCCGGGCTGAGCCTTGGCTCTCTGCACTCCACTGGTGCATCCTCTTCCTGAGGTGGAGTCCCCTTTTCCATCAAAAACTCCCTCCATTTGCCTTTTCTGAAACATTCTCTCTTTTTTTCTCCTCTCAGAGGTGGAGCTTCTATTTCTAACATGAAATTTGGAGCTGCTTAGAAATGTTCCCAGCACAGGAAGACGCCATGTGAATGTGTGTGAAAAGCAACAAAAACTAGAAGAAAGTACAATGAATAAAAGAGAAAAATCACTTGAAATCACAAATATATTCCTATTAACTTAAATATCTTCTTTTTCTTTTTTAAATGAGTCAAAGGCCTTTTTGCTTGAAATCTTTGAAATTTGAATCAGTCTTAGGTAAACGAAATCGTGTCTAAACTGTGAGCAGTGGAAACTGTTTTAAAAGATTATAATATTTAAATTTGAAAGCTCTGTTCAACAATATAGACAACATAAAAGTGTGGCGAGGAAAGGGAAAAGGTTTTAAAGGAACCTAAAGGATGAGACCAAACATACAGTGTGAGAAAGAATAAAAAAGGGAAAAGGCCGCTGGGTGGGGAGCAACAAGGCCGACTGTTGTAGGAAGGAGAAAGGCGGCCATGGGAGGAAGGGTGGGCCTGGGACACACAGAGGCAGAGGAACACTCACTCCTGCAGGGTCTCCACTCCCATTTCCTTATACTGCAGCTCCTGCTTCACCTGGGCCAGCTCCTGCTTCAGTCGGGAGAGCTGCGGACAGAAGCGAGCACCGGGTTAGCGTGGCACACAATGGGCTTCTCTCACCACCGACACCGGCCAAAAGTGCCAAGTCACGACTATTCACATACAGGAATGCTCAGCTATGTTTATATAGAGGACCGCACGCACGCACGCGCGCGCGCGCACACACACACACACACACACACAGAGGCGTTTTGTGCATGAGAGGGTTTAGAAAAATAGAAATCTATAATTGATATGGTGGCTGTGAAGTGTGACCCAGTTAAAGATTTTTAAAAATATTATTTTAATATGAAATAGGGAAAGGGAACTGTTTCAGAGTTACAGAGGGCACGTGAATTTTAATTTATCAAGTTTAGAGACAAAAGGTTAGGAGAAGGCCCGTAATACAATATATAGGGAGTCAAGATTTTTTAAAAAGAGGCATTATTCTAATTTATCTGATGTTTGTTGAATTATTTTTAAACACAGAAGCAACAAAGTCAAAAAACTGCAGCTCTTCTAATGGCCACTTGAGGCTGACTCCAGGTTACAGCAGAAATAAACATGTTTAGAGCCTGTTATAACAAACAGGTCACTATGGATAGTTTCCCCTAAACCTCAACTGCACAGAAGGTCTTTTCTTTTTAATAATTCACCTGTTTGAACATATTTTGGGCATAATGTTAGTGCTGTGGCTGCTTTGACTAAAGTTTTCTTGCACTAACAGCTACAGCTGCGAGCTGAATGCAGTACAAACACATTGATCTTACACCTGCCTAATGAGAATCTTCCTGATTTAAGGGCCCTTTTTTCTCCTCGCAATCGTTTCTTCCTCGGTGTGTGCACAAATTCATGAGGGCCACATCGATAAACAACACAGATACCATTTACATCCCATAAGTAAAACCTAGAACGATATTCAGATCCTTACAAGGAAGATGATGTTGCTTTAAAAAGGCTGCCAACCTGTTCCAATAAATATTGTTCATATCTGGGACAGTGTCAGACTTTGCTTATCCTGTAGCCTACACAAACTGCAGTTAAGATGCTTTTGATGAGGTCATGCCATACTCCTATTAGAAAGAAGAGCTTATGAATGCTTATGTCAGTATCCCAACATGCTGACAATGGGAATGTTAACAGAGGGGAGTTATTACAGTTACCACAGAGCATGCGCTCATTGAACATCCCACTGTTTCAAATGAGGTCCGCCTATGTAGAAGGAATCTCTGTGAAAGAAACAGTTCAGTCTTCAGACCGCTCTAAATTCTCAGTTCCACAAGTTTTTTCTACTCTTGGCTCCCTACGAGCTCAATGAGAATAAACAGCTTTAATATGAGCCTCTCAGGCACACAGCTACACCCGTATGCTGTTAAAACCCTCAGTTTTTAAAAGACAACCAATCAGCAGAAAGTCTGTTTTAAAAGTGGGAGGGGCTAAACAATTCATTCCAGAGTGTGAGCTGATGGCAAAGACAGTATAAACAGGGATGAAGCTTTCTGCCTTCTTTCTGAAGGCGACCAGATGGCCAGATGGAGGATTATCTGTGTTATAGAAAGGAAACTCAATGTCTAAAAACCCATCAATCACAAGTCGTTACCCAATGGATGGGCATTTTCACGGTCAGACCCCGCCCCTCACAATCAGATCCGGTCTGCGGCAACTACGATGGAGATGGAGAAAACTCATCGAAGCTTCAAAAAAAAAAAAAAAAAGATAAAAAGTGACATGACACTAGCTCGATCCACCTTTTATACTGTCTGTGGGTGATAAGGTGCACCAAGGCCCAGTATAAAATAAACCAAGATCACTGTAAACAGTAAATCACGTAAAGCTGAGCTTGTAGAGTCCAAGAATAATAACAATATGGAGAGGGAAATGAACACGTGTATCTTTTAAGGTCATATTAGTTTTTAAATATCCATCGCTTCCGCTTATCCTTTCCAGGGTCGCTGGAGCCTATCCCAGCTGTCATTGGGCGAGAGGCGGGGTACACCCTGGACAGGTCGTCAGTCTGTCGCAGGGCTAACATATAGAGACACAGACAACCATTCGTGCTCACATTCACGCACAGAGTCACACCTATTAATAATTTAGATTAATCAATTAACCTATCCCCACTAACTGCATGTCTTTGGACGGTGGGAGGAAGCCGGAGTACCCGGAGGGAACCCACGCAAACACGGGGAGAACATGCAAACTCCACACAGAAAGACCCCGGCCTGATGGTGGAATTGAACTCAGGACATTCTTGCTGTGCGGCTACCGTGCGAACCACCGTGCTGCAAGTTCTTAATAGAGAGTTACAAGTGGATACAAGAGGTTCCAATCAGTCTAAAACTATTTCATTGATTCATTGATATTACTGTAATGATGGTGGTCACATAAATGAATCCTAATATTTAACACAGATTTTATTGACCTTCATTGATTACCAGGAAATCTGAGTTATCTGGTCTTTAATCACTGTAAATATGTTTATTTATGGACGTTGCCTAATTTGTCAATATAATCTTTAAAGAAACTCAATTTCTCTGATTTGTCGACAGATTTCTTCAGTAACATCAAAATTACACCTTACTCAACACTTCAGGTTAAAATGTTGTTCATGCAGGAGAAACACCCTCGCCCATAGTACTGATCAGAGAGAAATGTCCTATATAACCCCATCAGGGACCTCAGCTTGACCCCTTCATGATCTCATCCTCATCCTCCTGAGGCCCCAGGCCAGAGCCACTGTATCCTGTAGGGGCCACACCCCAGCCCCTTTCTCTGCCCAAAAGGGCCCCTCACTGCAGCCCATTGTTCTCCTGCGATAATGACTTACCCGCTCTCGTCTACAGGCTATTTCCATTTTGATTTGGTCAGGGTCGTATTTCGCGTTTGAGGAGGAGCCAGAGACCGCTGTGGACACACAGAAAGGAAAAGCAGACAGGTTTGAGTTAGTTAGCCGTGATGATTTTAAGGTGTCATCTCTCAGATGCCCCCTGGACACCGTTTGTGTGACAGCTGGCAGGAGTCAGGGTTTATTGGGTGGAGGTAGTTAAAAGGGAGGATTTGGAAAATTTTCTATAGACCTGCACCCCTCCCAAAAGTCTTTAAAGGGATATCAGCAGTAATACATGTCCAGACTAGATAACTGGGTCAGCCAAGGTCATGTTTGGTTCCCATGAGAGCTTCAGGCTCATATTTTTCGCATCCATTTTCATTCCTTTCTGTTCATCTCCTTTGTGCATCTTATTATAAACAAAATATGGTGTACACTATCAGACGAGTGAAGGACATCTGTGCGTCTTACTGCTGGTGATGGAGCGATTGTCCTCAGAGAGCTCATGGAAGAGCATCATTTCCTGCTGAGCCAGCTCCAGTCGCTGTTGCTTGACCAGGTATATCTCCTTCTTGGCTTTGAGGGCCTCCTGGGCCACCACAAGGTACTCCTTCAGCATGTGCTCCTGCTCCTGCCGCCATTGAGTCCGCGGGTTCTCAATCTGGGTGGTCTCTGACAGGACGACAAAGACAGGAGTCAACAAATAATTGCACAAAGACATGTGAAACTACAAACTATAAGTACACTGTATTAAAATTCAGTGGGCTTTCACTCTGCCAAGTTATAGTCAAATAAAGTCTTTTTAATACAAGTTGCATTTACTTGTGCTTAATTTTTATGCTGAGGGGACAAAAGCCAAGTTAATGTACTCACTGTTAATGTGGTCAATGTAGTAAACTCCCACTTGTTGGTCATAAACTTCCTCCCACCCGAGAGGCAGCTCATCTCCAACACAGTCGGCAAACGTCAGCGGTTTGGTGATCCTGAAAATTATTGAGAATATTTCAGTGCAAACAATAACCTGCAATGAAGATCATATACAGAATAAAAACATGTATCCTGCAAACTCTCACTTCTTTTTCAATATCAAAACACTGATCAATAAACCTCACTACATTCCCATCCTGTCTCATTTAAACATTCATACAAATACATTTTCTGCCTCATTTATTATGTACATACAGTAAAATGGTGTGTTAAGTTCTAATGAATAAAAGCAAACATTTATTCTTTATGTGTTCGTGTGGTTAAATGACCAAAACAGTTGAGAACGTGTAATACGAGAAAAACAACACAATTCAAAAATGCAAAAATACATTTCACAGAAATTGGCATAAAAAACATCAAACATCATAACCTGAAATGCACCAATCAAATAACAAAGTTGCTCGATATACTATAAGTGGTAGCAGGCAGGTGAACCCTGCCTGCTAAATCTTTCACAAATGTACCTATGACCTTGATACAAAATTTTGCATAATTAGTAGGGGTGGGGGGGAAAAAATCGATACTGTGTAGTATCGTGATATTTTGTTTGCTAATAATGTATCGATACAGGGACAGCAGAAATCGATATTTTGTTACAAAAAAAGTGCTCTGACTTCAGAGCATGTCATGTTGATCCTTTTTCTGAGCAAGAATCCTGACATTCCTTCACTGTCCAAATGTGTTTAACTTTTTTTTGGCAGCAATAAACATGAGAGTTTACTTATTTTAATTTAAGACATGTTTTATTTTAATTAAGTTTAGAACTTTTTTATTTAATGTAAAATTATATTTTGTTTTAATTTACTTTCAAATTCTTCAGTTGCTGAATGGGCTGCATAGTTTTCATAAATTGCATAGTTCAGAATAGCTATAATTGTACCAGATGGTTGCATTCAGTTAAGTTGGGCTAGACTGTAGTACAACAATAAAAATGACTGAAATGAGAGAAAGACTGAGTGCGAGGCTTTGATATTAGATAAAATGAATATTGATAAACCTTTATGTACAGAATCTGAATATCGCAGATATTTAAAAAAAAAAAATCGCAATAATATCATATCGTGCGTTAAGTATTGTGATAATATCGTATCGTGGGATGTATGGTGATTCCCACCTCTAATAATTAGTGCATAGAGCATACTTTACATGCCATAATACCAGTATGATCTGTTTAAGCATTCTTAAACAGATCATATGCACAATACAGTCCGTGACTCCTCTGCACCATCGCTCATGACCCACTGCCACATGTCAATAGCACCTTTAAAAATATATTTACTAAAAAACATTTATGACATGTTCAATATTTGTTTTACCCGCCAAAAAACACGTCTCTCTCTTCCCTGACAGATTTTAGACAAATGAATATGTCAATCATGAGCTTCAGGAGGCTTTGGAGTCAGATATAATGACTTTGAGTCAGTGACCTTCACATGTTCATGAATTTACGTTCTATTTGTGGCAGTGGTGAGTATGTGCATGTGTGTACATAAAGTACTTTATTTGTGACAAGTAACTACCTGAGCAAAACAACCAGCTGACACTTTCACGCATCATTACATCCTGTGGTTTAACTCCACATCCATCCAGTAGAAGAAATCAAAAGGGATCAGAGGTTTTTTTTCATAGTTGCCTCATCTTTTCCAGCTGTTGCAGCATCTTCCACTCTGTAATCTGAGAGTCTCTGAGTTCCTTTACCAATATAACATTGAAATGGTGGTGAGGGCTGACCCACTCGTACACCCATGTACGCGTACCTGTGTGCCTAACAACAATCAATAGCGAAAATGACACCAAAGCAGAGTGAATGCCAGTGGATGTGACATCATATTTACAATGCATCAACATTCACAAGGGCAAAAACAGTGACCATAAACTAGGCTTTAGAGCTGGCATGAAGAGTTTTTCATGCAGGAGGGGCTCAGAGAAGAGCTGCTGATCCTCAAAATCGAAAGGAGTCAGCTTGAGGTAGCCTAGTAAAGTCTGTTGCCACCCCCCCCAAAAAAAACCCCCACAAAAAACAAGGGCAAGGCAAATGACAGCCTGACACATGATGATCTCTACTACCCTAACAAAATATATCAGTGAGTCATGGAGCAGCGGGTTTGATGACAGCAGTTCATACAGTAACTAATTTCCATCAAATCAGCACAAAAGGAAAAAGGAGGACCAGCAACCACCACACTATGCTCACAATGCAGACAGCGCATTAGTCCTGATCCTGTCGAGGTATGCATACAATGAGGGGATGGCCCGGAGAGAGATGCTGAGACATTCTGCACAGCATTCCTCAGAGCAAACTCACTTCACCAGATCTCACTTCCTCATTTCGGTCAAAGAATTGGCATTCGGATTAAGAACCAGTTGATGAGTCAATGCAGAATTAGCCCTTCGCTCTCATTGAAGTGACATAAAAACAAGGCGTTCTAACACAAACAAAGCTGTACTGAATCCTAATTGATGATTGGTCACAGGAGCTTACCTCTAATTCAATAAAACCCCTAATCTGCTGCTTAAGTGCAGCTCTGCATGTGTTGTAAGTCAGTATTAAACGTTCAAACATGTGTTCATAAATTATTAGTTAAGGAAGCCTAATATTCAGCTGAGTAGGTATCGAGTTTTCAGATTTGGGGATTCTGTTTTTTCAATGCTTGACATCCCTCTCACTGAGAGCAGTGATTATCATGCTTCAGCTCACCTCACTGTTGCTAAATTAGCAGCTTTGACACTGGATTTGGCCAATTTTCAAATCCCTTTCGACAATTTTTCCCCCCCCTCCTCCAGAAAACGGTTTTGAGAGAAAAAAAAAAATTTGTCATAACATCTTGATGTCCTGGAGCAGGATCATCAGTATCTCTTTCTCCCTGATGTGTTTATTAGAAAAGCTTCAGAACGTGAGAGGAAATAAAGCTGATTTCTGAAATCACTGTACATGCAGCCAAAATCACAGCATAGCCATCGTCTTTAACTCGTGTATGACGGTTATTTACCGTTTATTGCTATGAAAGTTAAGAAGCAAAATGAGATTAGTAGAACTGCAACTGGCAACATTTTCTTTGCCTCAGTTTCATAAATGTTTTTTTTTATATTACAGTCCTGACAAGAGAAGCTGAACCTCTGAAGTATTATGTGCAACATACATTTTTTCCTTATAACTGACCTCTGCTTTCTACAAACACTGACCCAACAAAGACCCAAATATTCCCCTTTGAGAACCAGAAAATGGCTTCAGTCAACATTATGATGCGATCCTTTAAGACAATACAAAGAATCGACCGCTGAGTGATCATGGCCAATCATGGATAGCAATGTATGTTTTATAATATTTGCGATGCCTTGGGTATTTTACAAATGGATTCATTATTTTTTTCAAGCAAAACAGCTTAAGCACGTTCACTGTTCACAATACTGTCTGATGAAGCACCTGAATAACTTCTTCCTGACAACGACAAATCCAAGTGTTACACCAAACACAACAAAAGTGAGAAGAAAGAGAAGCTGACAGGAAAAGTTTCCTCGTCAAAGCTTTTGAGCTGTGACTTGACCAATTAGCAATTACCGGTAAACGAAATTATTACAGGTAGAAGGTGTGAAACGCCTTCAAACTGCTGACCTTTTAACATGTGCTTTACATGTAGGATTACAGGTGAGTAGATCACTGTCCCGGCATTTGATTGGTAGGATAGTGTTTTTCTAGTCTACGAGCCACACCATTTATATTCACATGCCGTTTTATTTTACACACTTTTAATTTGCTTTTCAATCAAGGATCAATCAATGCAATAGCTATAACACCTGAGCCACAGCTAGCTGACCCATTCATGTTTTAATAATGTCCACACCTGAAGAGGTCAAACTTTGACTTAGACTAAATGATTCACAAATGAATTGTTTGATCATATTTTCTTCATCAGTGGCCTCTCCTAACTAGAAACACTGGCACACTTAATACCCAAATATTCCCCTAAAATAAAGTGCACAGCCCTGCAGCAGCTTCACAAATAACTGCTCAAATCTACCAGAGGCAGGCTGAAGCAGGGTTAAAGGGATGAACTATGTGCACTGTCCCGCTGCCAAACACCAGGACAAAGCAAACAAGAGCACACTCCCTACCTGCTCCTGCTTTAAATGTTTGTTAAAGGTAAACAGACACCAACTGCACTTGTAAATACTTAAATAAACACTGACTGTAACACAGCTGCTGTCAGGTTTCATGTGCAGAAAGGAACTGTAGGAGAAAAAATGAGACAAAAAAAATCTATAGTAAAAAAGCAATGCAAGGTTATATGAAGAGCAGCAATAATGTATAGTAGTTCTGCTTTATTTTGGGCGATTTGAAATGGTGATAGAAATAGAACAACCACGAGAGGCTTTGGACGGGAAGCTATGTGACGTCAGAGGGAGGTTAGTCCTGAACTGCCCTCTGACCTCCCTGGGGAGACTAAGAAAAAAGAAAAAAAGAAAAAAGGCAGAAGGGAAAAACATGTCCTCTCAGAGATCTGAATTTCTGAATGTTTGGTTTGTTACACGGTCTTGTGACAGCAGCCTCTGTTTTTCCAAGTAATGTCTTGGTCTTGGGAGAGTCTGTAACCACTGCACAAAAAACTCACAGCAGCAGCAGAGGGACACACAGCAGCACAGAGCAGGAGACGGCCAATGTGACAGTATAGATTCAGCCAGAAAAACTGGACAACTGAAGCTAGCTGTGTGTAGTAAGTCAGCATTTCTGGTCCACTTTTAACCAGAAGAAATTTTTATGACCTTTTCTGACAGTCAGCCTCAGTTGACACAGTGAAACAGCTGTGCCTGAATAAAATGTGAGAGATTTAAGTCGGGACATTTCCTACGCGGGGCACAAAAATGAGACAGTCTCACAATTGTAAAGGCTCCATTTGGTTCAAGCCCGTGGTTCCCACGTGGTACACTAGTGCTTCCAAAAGCACATTAAAATAAGTTGGTTTTTTAGTATTTAAAAATCCAATCATATAATCAAATT